TATTAAAATACATTTGAGTGATGTTATTTTCTTATTACGGATACAAGTACGCAATTAAAAAAACACACTTTCATACTTGTAATGGCGTGATGACCACGCATGCGCAGTTTAGCCGAACGGCCTGCAACGCCTCTCTCTCATGAGACTTACTAGAGAAGAGTGGTTAGTTAGTAGGTAGTAGCGAAGTAACGAAGGAAACGTGCTGTATGTCAGCTTGGATGCAAAATACGCAGTTATACTTGTGTGTTAATCGTTTGTACTTATTATTTTATTTGTGTGTTAATAAAGTTTTGTGCCATTAAAATGGCTGGTTTATGCAATGCCCACATTACGATACATCTACGGTAGGAATTAAATACATATCCAGAATCTACACGCCTAAGAAGAAGGATATGACAGTGGTGCCAGAACAGGAGGATATGTCATTCTGCAAAGTTCATGGATAAATGCGTAAGTGAGTCTTCAGAAAGGTAAGAAATTTGTTCAATTTATTTTGTGGTAAAGTGGAATTCAAGGTTACAAAAATGGCGGAAGAGCTAACGAAATCTAAGAAAGAACGGAAAGTTATTCGTTCAGCCATTACTAAAGTAACAAATTGCTATTGAATCCATTAATTGCAGCCGGTAACCTTTGAAAACCTAGAAGAATCACTGGAAATTTTAAAAGTAAAAGCTATTTGTTTGAGAGCGTTCAGATAAAAAAAAATTAAAACTTTGACTGATGTTAATGACATTGAAACCGAAAGTCGAAAGTACCTTGGAATACGAAGGAAAAGATTGCGCAAAATTGAGTTTTAGAGGCACAAAATTATTGAAAGATAAGAGAAATAGCAATAATTCGCTAGTTTCTAATGGTTCTTCTAATGATAGTAACAATTTATCTATTTTTGGTGTCGATAAAAGTTCTGATTATAATGTTAAATTGCCAAAGATTATGATTGATAAATTTTATGGGAATGCTGAAATGTGGCAGACATTTTACAATTCTTTGGACACGGCAATAAATCAAAACAAAAAACTATCTAAAGTGGATAAGTTTAATTACTTGCTTAGCCTGTCAGGCAGTGCAGCTTTAAAAACAATAGAAGGCTTTTCTTTATCTCCAGAAAACTATGACGAAGCTTTTAAAATTATGGTCGAAAAGATCTCCTTATTAATTCTTACATGCATAAACTTTTAAATTTACGGCCTGTCCAATATTCTAATGACATTAATTTTTTGAGGGAATTGTATGATACCTGCAACGTACAAGTAAGGTCACTAAATTCAATAGGGGTCAAGACCGAATCGTATGGAAATTTACTATACCCTTTGTTAATGAAATGCATACCTCAGGATATAACGCTTGATTTTGCTCGTCAAAACGCAGATGAGGAAACTTTTAATGTCGACAACCTCATGAAATTTCTAAAACAGGAAATTGAAAGTCGCGAACGAACTTCATTAAATTTATTTTATTCCAAGAGTCACGCTAATTCTCTTGGAAGGCATTCACAACCAAATGAAAAGCGAAACAACTTCCACACTCGGAATTCATTCAATGCAAACAAATTTGGCGCCAGCTATTCCCCTAATGTAAGCAAAATTGCAGTTGTTCGAACTTTCCCTTGCTTATTTTGCGAAAGCGAAAATCATGCTTCGGAAAAATGCGTTATGTCTCCGGAAGAAAGGAAAAAGAGTTTAAGGGATTCTAATCAGTGCTTTCTTTGTTTCAAAAGGAACTGTAGAACAAAAAATTTCCCTTCTCAATTAAAATGTTCAAAATGTAATTCTAGGTATCATAATATATTGTTGCATGAAGATAAGGAAAGGGTTGCTAAAGAAGAAATTAAGAATAATTCTAACGCCGTAACTGCAAAGATTTCTTCTAAATATTTTACTGTGAATCAAGAAGTTAAAGAATTAATAGATGACTTGCCAACCGTTAAACTTATATGTGATGGTAAATTAATTAATGCAGTAGCAGATACAGGCACACAGTTAACCGTTGTCAAGGCCGACATTGTACCAGAAAAATACCGTACACCACATGGAAGTGTTATCCTCATGTCAGCTTTCGGACAAGCTTTAAAAGCTCCTCTCATTAACCTACCTTTAGTAATGTATTCTGAAAATGATAAATTTATGTCACCTATTTTTATAACATGTGCAATGGTGGGTAAGTTATGTAATGATTTACTCTTGTCATTAAGTGCTTTTAATGAGTTAAGGGGAGACGATAAAAGAAAGTTTAATTTTGAATGTAGAAATGTAAACATTACTACTGATAGTTTCAGTGAAATGCCTTTTCATGAAAGTGAAAATTTTGATGAAATACTTAACCATGATAGAGAAAACCTAATTAATGAAAAATGTAATGAAACTGTTAAGAAGATAATAGAATGTTGCGCTCTTGTATATGAAGATACAGGTAAGGATGATTCCAAAGGTAGCACGAGACACGATCAATGTGTTTCGGATTCAGAACTGTTTCGAGTACAACAAATGAATGACCCATCTTTAAAAACATGCTGCAAAATGTTAAGAACGGAAGTAATAACTTTATTGTTATTGACAACTTTTTGTATCATAAAGTTCTAGAAGAAAGAGTTTACCAGTTAGTCATTCCTAAAGAAAGAAGAAAACAAATTTTGGACTTAGCTCATTCTAGCTTATGGAGAAGTCACCTGCGAACCAAAAAGACAGCCGAACGTTTGAGATATTCGTTCTATTGGCCTGAAATTAAGAAAGATGTAAATGAATACTGCAGTGCTTGTACTTCTTGTCAACTTCAAGCGAAAAAGCGTCCCTTTGATGAAGTTCCAATTACGCCAGTAATACGTCCTAAAGAACCATTCCAGGTAATTAATGTGGGTATCATAGGACCTGTAGAGCCAAGTTGTAGAGGTTACAAATATGTTCTGTGTGCTGTTGATCAATGTACAAGGTGGCCCGAAGCGATGCCATTGAAGAATTTGAATGCCAAAGCAACATGCGATGCATTGTTGCAAATCTTTTCACCCACAGGAATTCCTCAGATTGTTGCTTCAGATCAAAGAACTAATTTTACTGCTTCGTTGACTCAAGAGCTTTTGAAAAGGATCGGATCATCGCCAAGGTTCTCGACTCCTTATCATCCAAGTTCAAATGGCCTGGTAGAAAGATTTAATGCTGTTTTAAAGGGAATGATACATCATACCATTAGAGAACATTCCAAAGATTGGGAGAAACATCTACCGTATTTACTTTGGGCTTATTGAGAAGTTCCTAATGCTACGACTGGTGTTAGTCCGTTCCAAATGTTTTATGGAAGACGTTCTAATGGCCCTTTGTCTATTTTGAAAACATCATAGACTAATGAAACTCCTGTTCCTCATGGACAGTTAAGTTCAGTTACCGATTATCTGAATGATTTGAAGACGAAATTGGAAAAAGCTGCTGAATACGCAGGACTTACAGATGTTGGAAAGCAACAAGCTTATGCATTCTACTGTAACTGAAAGACTCGTCATAAAAAATTCAAGGAAGGTGACAGGGTTATAGTTTTAATCCCTGATAGCCAAAACAAAGTTTATGCCAGATGGACGGGACCTGCTACGATCATAAAAAAGCATACTGATTATAGTTACATAGTACAAATGCCTGACAATTCATCAAAGCACGTTCACGCAAACAAGATACGAGAGTTCAATACCGCTGTGAATAATGTCGGTGTGATATATGATACAGATATTGATTTCGGCGAAGTTGAAAACGTTCCAAGAATTGTTCCACGGAAAGCAAAAGAACACTATTCTAATGAAGAATGTGATTTTACGCACCTTGAACCGCATAAGAAGAAAGAACTTATGGAAATTTTAAGAAGGCATAAGAACCTAAAAACTGGTATTCCGAAAATCGCCAATGTGAGAGAACACAGCATCAAACTGAAACCTAGAAGTAGGCCAAGAAAGCAGAAACCGTATCATATACCTGAAGTTCTAAAACACAAAGTTGATCGACAAATAGATAAGCTTTTACAGCTAAAGCTAATCGTTGAATCAGAAAGTGAATATCTGCATCCAGTAGTTTATGTGTTAACAAAATGGAATGGTAACATTATGTGTAGACTAAAAGACTATGCTGAAGTTATTGATGATGTGACTTAAAATGACATTTTTTTTTTTTTTTTGGAGCTAAAATGCTAAACTTTTTTTTTTTCCTAATGTTATGTAGTAGGTTTAAAGATTTAGCCAGGGTTTGCTAAAGTATTATGTTTAATTTTAAACGATTGATTTGTATTGTCTCGTTTATATAATAACTGCTTATATGATTATGATTATGTGAAGGATTTAAGTTTGAAAAGTTAATTGAATGTTACATCCTTTTAAATTAATAGGATTACTGAATTTATGTTGAAGTAATTTTAATTTAAAATGGTAAAAATTGGTTAATTAAGTTCGAAAATTTCATGAATGTTATTTTATTTTTTTTCAAGAAATGTTTATATATGTGGATTTGACAGGTCATTAAAAGATGCAATCAAATCTTTTCGAGGGGAGGTATCATGCCGTGATGACCACGCATGCGCAGTTTAGCCGAACGGCCTGCAACGCCTCTCTCTCATGAGACTTACTAGAGAAGAGTGGTTAGTTAGTAGGTAGTAGCGAAGTAACGAAGGAAACATGCTGTATGTCAGCTTGGATGCAAAATACGCAGTTATACTTGTGTGTTAATCATTTGTACTTATTATTTTATTTGTGTGTTAATAAAGTTTTATGCCATTAAAATGGCTGGTTTATGCAATGCCCACATTACGATACGTCTACGGTAGGAATTAAATACATATCCAGAATCTAGGTAACCATCCACTGTACGTTGCAATCTGAAAATTCCCTGAATCCCCTTTATTTCTGTAAAAATCACCAAGAGGGTTGCGCTAATTCACTTTAATTATATTATTTAAAATTTCCATCAGTGATTTATAATTATTCTTCAAAAATATTTAAATAGCAATAAATTATTGATTAACAGATGGCCTACCTTTCTGGCAAATCTTCTGGTACACATAATTCATTAGAAAATTTCTGAAAAGCTTGAATAGGCTTATCATTTTCTTTGATCACATTCTGTAACACTGTGAACATGATCTCACTTGCTTCACAGGCATAAACTCTCTTTGCACCAGCATCGTATGCCATCATGCTAATAAAATAAATTGAAGAAATTACATTTTTTGAGATATGATACACAAATAAACACAGTTTCCCAAAATTTAAACAAATGAAATATTATTTTGCATTTAAGATCAACAGAATAAACCGTATCTTTAATTATTATCTGATTCCACATAGTTTTTAAAGTACCAGTTCCAAATGAACAAATCTGTTTGGATAACATGGTATTAGATATCTTTTTAATGAAGAATATAAATACAATTACTTTTAGAAAATGCAACAGAGCAATAAATTTATGAAAGAACAAAAGTGACAAACAAAACTCCAAATTGGATTTCAGCTTTTTTGATCAAACCATATATGGAAAGCAAGAACCTCCTCTCCTTCAAAAATATTTTTAAACTGATAATTTTCCCTAATTAAAATAAATTTTCATAAAATGCATTAATAAAAGTTATTATTAAAATATTACTTCATCAGTAGAAAAGCTAGCACCATAAACTGATGACTTATCAATGCATCAATCACTGACACTGCTGTAGTAAGCCACCTTTATAATACTTTGTTTTCCTTGCAAAACAAAACTCAAATATTTACAGCCTGACATGTAAAATAAATTACTAAAATGAAACAAATGCTGGAATTTCTTATGTTAAATTATAAGGATAGTTTTTTATGTACTCATGTATTATCTTGTCGATGGTTTAAGTTGGATGCTTTCAAGCCGTCAAAGTTGGTGGAGATCCCGCCAAAGTTGCAGCAATCATTCCTGTGGAATTTTGAAGGTATTGATGTCATTTAATTTAATATTCAACACGCTTTGTTTTTAAATTCCTTAAGAAGGCTTTCATTAATCTCTGTTTTGTTAGACCCTCTGATTTCACCTGAAGCTCTGTTTAGTATGCTATGAACACAAATATCCATCAGGTGCTTATTCCAATCTATTATTGTTTTGTCAGCCATATTCAGCTGGCCATATTGCAAACATTAATAAACACTCTTGTACGGTAAAATGCCAAAACCTTGAGAATAATCCACTGGTTCCTGTTCTGTGGAAGGCAGGTTTCGAATTTTAATCACGCTTTCAAAATTCAAGAAAAAAATACAGCAATAACAGCTAATTTATATCCTTATTTACAAAAACAAAAGGTTTATTATCGTGAATCACCAGGTTGCATAAAGCGAAAGTGCAGATCTTACAAATCAGTTATGTCACTTTTATAATCATTAAAGGTAAATCACAGTGCTTGGCAATAGTTGCACAATTGACAGGATAATATACAAGTACTGGTTTTTATATTAGCAAACATTACACTAACCTCAGTATGCCAGTGCCTGCTCCTATATCTAGAACACAATTATGGCCCTCTTTAACAGCTTTCCTTATTGCCCGTTCATAAACTGTATTACGTTCTATGTCATTTAACATAACAAAGTGCCATCGCTCAACCAGGGCATTCTTCAGATTTTCCATGCAGTACAATGATGGTGTGAAAAAGGGATTTGCTTGGTATGACTTCACAAAATAAGATAAAGCACATTCAACAAATCCCAACCTAAAAAAAAAAAAAAAAAAAGTTTTAAAAACTACACTCATTTTTCTTAAATTATTTTTTAAATAAGGCATGCGCATAAATATAGAAAAATACTTTAAATACTTCCAGTATAAAAATTAATAACTAAGAATATATGATAAATTTCAGTCAGTTCTGCACAATATATATATATATTGGTTAACAAATATGCAATAATCATAGATCAATGATTATATAAAGGCCATTAGCATATCATTCATCATTACACATTTACACTGCTATACTCATAGTTATCATGCATTTGCATTACTGTGCTTGCTCACTAACATTAGGAAATTGCACAGCAACTCACCACAGATCCATTTTCAAATGGTAAATCAAAAGTCTTTAATTCGGACTCGTCGGGACTTCGGCGATTCCGGATTATCGGTTTTTTCGGATTATAGATCATCATTTTAAATCTGGTAAGATGGCATGCAGAAATTATGAAATTAAAAATATGAAACCGTAATTTACGAAATAAAGAGCAATTTATGATCTAAAGGGTATCAAAATTAAAAAAAAAAAAAAAAAAAAAAAAAAAAAAAGCTTAATATTTATTTGTTTACTTTATTAAACATTTCTTTCAACGCACGCATGCGTAAAGCATACATTACGCATAGTCGAAATTAGAAAATTGCAACCAGAAAACTATTTGATGTGTATTCATGACATTTATAATGACGATGAATTTGATTTAAATCGTACCAAAGACGGAGTACATCGAGATGAAATACTACATTTAGTAAAGAATTATAAGCCGAATAAAATAAAAACATCTGCCCTGAAGATAAGGATAGTGCTGACAGATCAACTTCAGTTCATTGCGCACCACGACGTCCACAATCCCCCCAGAGCAGTGTGAAATTGATAAACAGATTTCGGAATGATTGGAGAAACAAATCACCTCTCTGTCACTTTCTTCATGCCTTTATCCATTTTTTTGCAGCAATTCCACTTTTTGTTTAATGGACATCAGAACATGCTTTCGCTTTGACCACCGAAACATGCTTTCACCTTTGACAGCTCCAGATTGGAAACTCTTTTTGACATAATTGAAAGTTTAAGCTTACTTGTTAAAAAATTGCTCTAACAGTCTGCAAAAAATAATAAGCCAGATCCAATTAAAAGATTAAGGAACAACGCAATCTGCAACATTAACTGAAATAGATCATTTTAGCTTAGCTTATACCGTCTGTTATACATTAAACGCGCATACGTAAACATATTACGCGCATGCATAAACGTATTACGCGCATGCCTAAAGGTATTACATATGCGCAGAAAGTTTGTAGCTTTCAGGTCCGGAGTATAGATTATTCCAGATTAAAGACTTTTGACTGTATATAATTGTCTACAATTAAGTCAAGCAGAATGAGCAAAAATTTAGCAATGTACATAAACAGATACCTAACTCATTTTAACTGCCTGTACAGTTCACTATAAAATATCTACAAAAATTTCTTACAGCAATGACATAACTATTTTAAATTACTTGTCACGGTGAATAAGCAGACTGAAGTTACTCATATAATTATTATATATGAAGACATACGAATTATATGTCAAGAAATGATGGAATTATATTATTCTCATATTATTCCAAAAACGATTTGAAAATTGTCAAAAATAAGGGGGTAGAAAAAGAATGTTCTGAAAATGTACATAAAAAGAGTAAAAATGATGCTGATAAGTAATAGATACCTTTCCTAATTTCTAAAACAGTTACATTAAATTTTCATTCACTTTTGAAAATGTATGATAATTACATTTTATAATAATTAACATTAGTGGGCATTTTAAAGAAGTAAATATAACATTTATTGTGGTTTACAAAACCTATTACACTAGACAATGCTCATTTTTTCTATATTTTATAATGAACAAAATTGGTGATATGAGCTGAAAAAATTTAGTGTTTGGAAAAACATAACTGAAATAAACACAGTTAGTACCGTAAGAACATAGAAAGAAAGTTCAACCGATATCGCAAAGACTTTCACATTTGAACTCCTTTAAATTTAATTCATGTTTGATTTTGAAAAGTCCGTCATTGGGTGTTCCTTGTAGCTTGTTGTTGTTCCTCAGCTCATTATTATGATTCAACACTAGATTTTATTATTGAGCCTTTGGCTCACGTGCTTGATGGCAACTGTTTTCATTAAACCTTAAGCAGATATGAAGCAATTATTTCCACAAAGTTTTCATACAAGAAAACTGATCTGATTGAACTACCCTATTTGATTATAACATGGAATTCTGTGCAGACAGAGCCCAGAGAATTCTCAATACAAAGCAAAATGATTAAGGACCTTTTTAATAATTTCCTTCGTGTTAGCAATAAGTGATATACCCAAATGTATTTCTTTCATAGACTCTCACAAACCTGGTGTAGACCATGTGCAGTATGCACCATATGATTGAGGTTGAGATACTTGACTATCATTTGCTAGAAAACCAAAAGACATAGCATGCCTTTTGCTCACCACAAGTCTGACTTTCTCATAATATATGCCTTCCAGCAACAGCATTACAAGAAACACTGAAGGACTACATTACTGTACAGGTATTTGTCTTGTCATGTTGATACATTTTCAGGAGTATGGTTTTTCACTCGTTCATGAAACAACAAAAATACCAATATATTAAAAGTGCATTTTTTTAACTCATCAGTAGTTTCATTCAACATAAGTCCTACTTCATACTTTCTGGCCACGTATTTTATTTCCTTAACCCTCAGCTGGAGGGGCTGGCATATGGTACAATTTTAGAGGGGCAGTGTATGAAGTATGCCAGGTCGTTTTTCGAGCCTCTGCTTCGTGTTTGAAACTATTTAATATTATATATGAAATTAATAAGGTGATTCATCATAGTAAAAATGATATAAGAAAAAAAATAACAGAAAAATCAGTAAAGATGGAAATTATTAATTTTTAATTAATTCAAAAAATGGAATGCACTGGAAACGTAATTTAAAGTTTATATAGTATTCTGTATTATTTTCTATATGAAAATTATAAGATCACAAATCAAATTTACAAATTATAAATATTCCGTAAAGAAAAGTTCAGTAAGTAATAAATTTTACAAATGAAAAAAACCTTTTGCTACTTTAATCCTCTTCAGATTGTCCCTGTTCACTGCAGCAGGGTTTGCAAAGTTGCACTGTCTTGCCCAGATGATTTTTGCAGGTAAACTTAGAACACTCAGAACATTTTATGGTAGTGTAATTATTCTTCATTCTACCGCACTCAGCGCAGCATCCTTTGATTGTTTTTGCAGGTGGTTCCTCTTCCCTTTCGGCCATCTTGTCCACTTCTTTGTTACCAGCCTTCTAATAATAGCTTTGGAATGTGACAAGAGAAACCGCATTTTCTAATGATTTTGAAGATGAGGTTTCATCAAAGATGTACCTAGATTTTTGAAAAAATATCTTCTAAACTTGATGGTTGCATCAGGTTTGGTAAAGTTCAAGAGCACTTGCAAATTTATGCACGCTACGTTTAGCAGTGCAAAAAATATTGCCATTGTCCATTTCTTAGTTTTTCGGGCAATAGCGAAATTACTACAAAGTTGGTCTACGGTGTCAACTCCGCCTTTACATTTGTTATAATCCAGGATTATGTGAGGTTTATTTATTTCCTGGTCAATTTTGTCATCATCGTGTAAAGTACAGTCAAAAGTCTTTAATCCGGACTCGCCGGGACTTCAGCGATTCGGGATTATCAGTTTTTCCGGATTATAGATCATCAGTTTAAATCTGGTAAGATGGCATGCAGAAATTATAAAATTAAAAATATGAAACCGTAATTTATAAAATAATGAGCAATTATGATCTAAAGGGTATCAAAATTTACAAAAAAAAAGTTCATATTTATTTGTTTACTTTACTAAACATTTTTTTTCATGCGTAAAGCATACATTACGCATAGTCAAAATTAGAAAATTGCAACCAGAAAACTATTTGATGTGTATTCGTGATATTTATAATGACGATGAATTTGATTTAAATCATATCAAAGGAGTGCATTGAGATGAAATACTACATTTAGTAAAGAAGTATAAGCCGAATAAAATAAAAACATCTGCCTGAAGATAAGGATAGTGCCTACAGATCAACTTCCAGTTCATTGCACGCTGCAACAATGTCTGAATCAGACATTGCAAAAAGAAAAAAAAAACTTTTTGGCATAAAATTTAAATAAGAACCAAAACTAAATGCTAAATGTGTAAAAACAAAACTTTCATTCCCAGCATGTGTCTTTGTGTAGCTGAGCAGCTGAACATGCCTACGCCTTACCCTGACTGAAATCAGTGAAAAAGTAGGAACAATAATGTCATCTATTATGAAAATATTGAATTTTAAGTCTTAAATGAATATATGTGAAAACGAATTCAGTTCAGGCTTTACGAAACAGAAACACTAAATTTTCTTCTGCCCAAAGTCAGTTTGGGCATCACAAATACTGCACACAGTAGTTGCTTGGACTGGACTTGGGCAGCAGTGGCAAGGGGTTAAAATACAGAAAAGATTATGGCTTCAAGTCGGATTTTGAATTCACATGGTGGAGGTTAAAAAGAAAAAACACTTTATTTACGCAAAATATGAAACGCTACTAAAGAATATTTTTAATTTTTAATATCAACATACCATTTTTACTGGATTTAAAGTAATGATCCACAATATGAAAGCTGCGAAGTCCTGAAGATTCTGGATCTCGGACTTGGTACTTGTTGGCACCTGAATGTCTGTTATACGAAAACTTTCTCCTCTACCATTGTTGCCTAGCAACGAATCCTGGTGTAACATGTATACGTCAATATCATTTGCTTTTTGTAATTCTTTTTTTATTAACTTGTTTGATGAAAAATTTTGTTGCTTGGATTTTTGAATGGCTGTTAATTGAGTGGTTAATTTTCAAATAGAATAAAAGATGGATTTAAAAGAAAATTAGTTTCGTTTTTTCGTAGCTACAGTCCAAAACAGTGGTCCTTAATAGCCGGAATGGAAATGGCTAAATAAATTGTTGCTTCGAACAATAAAAGCAATAAAAACATTAGTTTGATGATGTATTAAAAACGAAAATGGCTAATGCAGATGATGAACTGAACAGTAGAGATAATTCTACAGTATTGTTATTAGATGAAAAACTAAAAGTGCTAAATCGACGTCATGGAAACTTTAAAACTAGGATTACAAAATTGGAAACTTTTTTTGAAAGATTCAAATTTGAATGTTGACAAGATGCGCCTTCAAATTAAATTGGATATGGTTTCAGACATATCTCAGATCGAATTGTTGCAACTGAAATATTATGATGTCATTGATGATGAAAATTTATCAAGTGTAGATTTAGAATTTGAAGAAATGGAAGACCGTTTAGAAGAAATAAAGTTAAGCTTACAAACATTAGTATTAAATTCAGATTTAGTTGATAAATCTTTAACAAATAATATTAAGGTTCCTAATTCTGTCTCTATTAAGTTACCTGATTTAAGGTTACCAGAATTTCACGGTTGTATTGAGAACTGGAGTAATTTAAAAAAACAATTTGATAGTTTGATTACAAATAACTCTTCTTTAAATGCTATTCAAAAATTGTTCTCTGAGTTCTGCATTAAAAGGAGACACAAAAGTTGTAGAAACTTCAGAAGACAGTTTCCAATCTTTATTTGAGGTTTTAATTGATAGAAATGAAAATAAATGGTTGATTGTTGATTCTCATATTATGAATATTTTAAATTTTGAGATAATACATGTTGAATCTTAGAAGAGTCTTAGAAATATAGTTGATGTTTTGAACAAAAGCCTAAGAGGTTTAAACTTAATGAAATTAGAAGCTAATGAACTAACACATCAATTCCTTATAAATACAGTCAAAAGTCGTTAATTCGGACACCCATAATCTGGAATGATCTATAATCCGGACCTCAAAGCTACAAACTTTCTGCGCATGCGTCTCTTTGTCGCATGCGCGTAAGACCTTTACGGCTGCGAATATGTGTGTGCGCATGCACATAATACGTTTACGCATGCACATTTAATGTATAATGGACGGTATAAGCTAAGCTAAAATTAGCTAATTCAGTTAATGTTGCAGATTGCGTTGTTTCTTAATCTTCGAATTGGATCCGGCTTATTATTTTTGCAGACTGTTAGAGCAATTTTATAAAAGTAAGCTTGAACATTCGATTATGTCAAATAGAATTTCCGATATATATTTACTAATATGTAAAGGATCTACAAAGCAAAAGTATGTTTCGAAGTCCATTAAACAAAAAGTGGAATTGCTGCAAAAAATGGATAAAGGCATATCCTTTGTTTTTCTAACCATTCCCAAATCTGTTTATCAATTTCACGCTGCTCTGCGTGGAAGGAAAAACATCGCGTCGCGCAATGAACTGAAAGTTGATCTGTCAGTACTATCCTTATCTTCAGGACAGATGTTTTTATTTTATTCGGCTTATAATTCCTTACTAAATATAGTATTTCATCTTGATGTACTCCATCTTTGATATGATTTAAATCAAATTCCTCGACATTATAATTCACTTCCGATAGTGAAGAGGTTATTGAAAACGAAAAAATTTCGATTGACAAGTTAGTCGGTATTCTCTGCACAGCAATTACAGACTTGAACAGTGGAATTTTGTTACTGAACAAGAAATTATGTCTGTTTATAGAATTAAAGAGAAAGTATTAGCACATAAAATGAAGCAACTTAAACAACTTACATTAAAAGAAATATTTAATAAAGTAAACAAATAAATATTAAGCCTTTTTTTTATTATTATTTTGATACCCTTTAGATCATAATTGCTCTTTATTTCATAAATTACGGTTTCATATTTTTAATTTTATAATTTCTGGAAACCAACTTACCAGATTTAAACTGATGATCTATAATCCGGAATCGCCGAAGTCCCGACAAGTCCGGATTAACGACTTTTGACTGTATTGTCATTCAAAAGTTAGATAAAGAAACAAGAAACCAATATGAAATGAGTTTAACATCGACTGAATTACCCAAATTTGGAAAGTTCGTGGAATATTTCGAAAAACGATCCCAAATGTTAGAAAATTTACATGGAGTTCAATTACCGTCATTAAATATGAAAACTTCTGATATAAATAAAGCTAGAAATTTCCTGTTAAAGTCGATCAGCAATTCCTGCATATTGTGTAAAATGTCACATTTGGTATACAGTTGCTCTTTATTTTTAAAAATGACTCCATTGCAAAGATTTAATATTGTTTAAAAACAAGCACTTTGTATAAACTTTGGCAAACATAAGCTTGCATCATGCAAATCCAAATATTCTTTTCGTTTATGCCAAGGAAAGCACAATTGTTTATTATGTAGGCCTGAAACTAAAAATTCCTTGTGTGAAAAAACTTTGCCAGATCAAGATATTTCACCATGTTTGCAGTCGGAAAATCTTCCCATTTCAGAGACTGCAGATGCTCGTAATACGCAAAGCAAAAAGAAGCCTAGTTCGCCCGATGTAATAAAAAATCCAAACTTAACTGAAGTGGTAAAGACTTTTGCATCTTTAAGTAAAATGTCAAACAAAACATTTTGCTCTCTACAGCATGGTTAAGGTTTGGTCACCGATTCGGAGTGATTAAATTAGCGGCAGAGCGATACTGGACAGTGCATCTCAATCGCATTTTATGACCTCACAGTTCGCTTCTTCGCTTGGTCTTAACAAACATAAGGTAAATATTCCTGTTAATGGTTTAAGTGGAAATACAATGAATATTAAATGAAATTAAATAACGTTCTTATTAGTAATAATAACTCTTCTTTCAACTCAGTAATAGACTTTCTCGTTGTACCTAAAGTAAAAGACTTTGTACCTGCTACCAGAATAAATGTAGAAAATCTGAAAATACCTGAGCATATATACTCATTAGATCCAGACTGACAAGCCAGGAAGGATCGACCTCATATTGGGTGCCGAACGTTTTTTCGAATTAGTGAAGGAGCGAAAGATTCGATTACCTAGTACTTTACTTTTCCAAAATTCAATCTTCGGATTTATTGCTAATCGATTTCTTGAAATTGAAAATTCACACCAATATTGTGGGCTAATCTCCTAGTCGGAAAGTCTAGAAGAATGTGTACATAAATTTTGGCAAATCGAAGAAATAGCCAACGAACCAATTAGAAGCGAAGAAGAGGAGTTTTGCGAATTGCATTATCAGAAGACCCATAGGAGAAATGAGAGTGGGTGTTTCTTAGTACAGATACCTATTCGAGAAGAAGCACTTCATCAATTAGGCAATTCAAGAAACATTGCTAATAAACGTCTTAATCAGATTATTAAAAGGTTAAATAAAAACTCAGACCTAAAAAGGCTTTATATAGATTTTATCAATGATTATGAAAGCTTAAATCACATGGAAAGGGTTGAAGAAGAAATTCCTTCACCTGTTACTTTCTACCTTCCTCACGATGAAATTTACAAACCTGAAAATTCATCTACGAAATTGAGCATTGTGTTTAATGCATCAGCTCCTACTACTACAGGATTGAGTCTGAATGACATTTTACTTTCAGGAGAGGTTAAAGAAGTTATTTTTGATTTAATTGTTCGATTTCGTAAAAATAAAATAGCACTGGTCGCAGACATTAAACAAATGTTTAGACAGATTTTAATTGATTCATTGCAAAGGAATCTTCTACATATCTTATGGAAAGAGCATGAAGATGACTCACCTATTATTTTTAGAT